TCACACCTCTGCCCCATCTCCAGCTCCACACACAGCTGGGACAGGGAGCCAAGAAGATCCCAGGCTCCATTTTGCTGCCCAGCCCTGGCACATCTCCTCCTCACAGGCCAGACTTGGCTGCAGGCTCCAGCAGAGACACGAGGATGCAGGGTCCAGCTGCTGGGATTTCAGGAGATCCCCAGAGCTTGGCAACCTCAAAATGAGTGGACTGGAGCTTCCACATGAATCACTGCCAGCTCTGGTGACACAGCTGGCTGTGCAGACAGGGTGGCAGAGGAAGGACAGGAGGGGCACCCAGAGTCACACAGCAGGAACACTTTAATGATCTGTCCAGCTCTTGCAAAACCCTGCTGGAACAGCACTGTCCTGTTCTGCACCAGCATCCCAGAGACCTGTCCCAAAAGTGACACCACAGCTGGCCAGAGCAGCTCAGGAGCCCAGGCAGAGGCAGGAACAGGGTGGCTCTGCTCCTGCAGCCTTGGGACAGAGCCCTGGCACTGCAGGGGGAGCTCAGAGGCGAGTGGCAGCGATGTTCTTCTGGGAGGGAGATCCCCTGAGCCCTGGGGACCTGCCTGGTGCCACAGCTGAGGTGTCCAGAGGGGCAGAGCCAGTTCTTGTGCCCTGCAGTGCTTCTCTTCCCTTCAGCAGCTCCACAGCTGCTTTCTCCACTTCATCCACCTGCAGCTGGCTGCTGGCTGCCATCTCATCCCTGGTCACTGCTAGGAAGGACGAGTCCTGGGCCAGAGCCCCGAGGCCTCCGGAGATCAGAGCCTGGCAGAGGAGGAGAGCACAGCCTGGGTGCTCAGCCTGGGCACTGCCATGGCTGCAGGCACCCACCCACCCTCCCTCTGCCCTCTGTGCTGGCACACAGCTGCTGCTTGCCCTTGTGGCTGAGCTGTGCCCCCCAATCTCCCATCATGGCACAAGCATGGTGTCCCTGGAATTCCCTTCCCTCCCTGCTGTTCCCTCTGTGCCCTTGCCTTACCTCCTGAATGAGGAAGGTGATGGCTGGGGTGGAGGATGCTCCTGGCTCACTGGTTTCTCTCTGCTGGAACCTGGAGCTGGATGCTGTTCCTGTCACGGTGCCATCCTCTGTGGGCAGCTGGGTGAGAGCAGCACAGAGCTGCAACATGTGCTGGGACACTGCCCAGGGAAGATCCCTCCCATGTCAGTGTGGGGGCTGCAGGGCCTGTCCCTGTCCCTGCCCAGTGCCTGGACAGGCAATGCCATCCTGCTGGAGCTCCTGGGCACCCCCAAAATGGGACCAGCAGGGCCACATGGACAGAGAGCAGGGAACCAGCCCTGGCACGTGCCAGGCATGAGGCACTGTGCCCAGCAAAGGGAGCATGGGGCAAATCTGATGCACCCCTTCTGCCCTGCCTCTGGAGGCTGATGGGCAGCCAGGGGAATGTGCTTCCAGCTGTTCCAGCTGTTTGAGGAGCTCCCCATGGAGCTGTTAGAGCAGCAGGGTGGGAGCCCAGCTCCATCTCCAGGCTGATCCATGAGAAAAGCTCCAGCAAGGCTGGAGGTTTATCATAATACACTTTCAATTAACCTTCCTTTATATTTCCTAGTATCAAAAACAAAAACCAACTGCCATCACCATTCCATAACCACCCCAAAACAAACATAGAACTAACCCCCCCAAAAAAACCAAACAAAAATATAAACCATGATCACAAATCATCAACCAATCACCCACCAAATTTTATGTTCTTGGAGCTTATAAAAAGCATGACACTGAAGATGTTCAGATGGCTGCCACACACACCCAATGAGCCTGGAGAGGGGCTCCTTCCCAGCACAGCTGTGCCAGGATGGCAGGGAGGAGTCCCAGGATGGAAGGCAGAGAGGCTCACCTGTGTCCCCCACATTACACATCCCGTCCCCTCTGACACGCACTGCCCCTTTACCTGCTGGGGGAGGAGTGGCCCTGGCAATGAGAGACCCCCGGAGGGGCCCCCTCTCCTCCTGCTCAGCCTCTCCATGGGGATGGGGCGGTTCTTCTCTGTGGGAGGGAAGGGTGGGGACATCACTGAATACACAGAATGACCAGGTTGGAAGAGACCTTCAAGATCATCGAGTCAAACCCAGCCCCAACACCTCAACTCAACCCTGGCACCCAGTGCCATATCTAGGCTTTGTTAAACACACCCAGGGATGGGGACTCCACCACCTGCCCAGGCAGCCATTCCAGAACTTTATCACCTTTTCTGTAAAAAACTTTCTCCTGATATCCAACCTATATTTCCCTTGGTGCAGCTTGAGGCTGTGTGCTCTGGTTGTGTCAGTGCTTCTGCAGAAAGAGCCCAGCCCCAGCTGAGCACAGGCACCTTTCAGGACCTCTGCAGGGTGATGGGGGCACCCCTGAGTCTCCTTTTCTCCAGGCTGAGCACCCCCAGCTCCCTCAGTGGTTCCTCTCAGGGTTTGTGTTCCCAGCCCCTCTCCAGCCCTGTTGCCCTCTGCCCTCCTCTGGCATCTCAACATCCATCAGATGGGTACAAGAGCAAGGACAC